AATTAAAGATTTCCGTTTCGCAAATGACACATTTCTGATTCGCAAATTACAGATTTCGAGTCTATTTCGCAAATTACAGATTTTGATTTCGTTTCGTTTCGCAAATTACAGTAAGCCCTCCCAACGAATCAGCAAGAAATGAAACAACGGTTAGATGATGACATCGAAGCAGCTGAGGCAGGGCTGCATGCGGACACCGAACGAGAGCTCTGAAATTTTAGAGAAGTTTTTCGTCCAAGCATTCAAAATTTTAGGTACAGAAAATTTGCTCACTTTGTAATTCCTCCTCCAAAAGTTTCCTGCGGTCTTTGGCAGAAGAGACGTAAGAGGCAAGTGTCGTGTATAGTGATGACCATGTGTGGAAATGAATGAAAGTGATGTAATACACTCGGGACCAACGGATTTGCATGTATCTATAAAGCGTGTGTTTAATTTATTCTGAGAGTTCTTTTCGCCGAAAAGAGCAAATGTGTAACGGACGTGAATAAACGGTTTCAACTTAACCGTACTACAGCAAGTTTGATCTGCTTCATTGCTGCAGCTTTCTTGCATAAATCGAACAGTTTTGCTTTTTTCTTTACTTTTCCGCCTTCACCCAACTGAATGCCTCTCTTCTACAAATAATTTTTCATCTTCCCACATTAAATTTCGATATATTTTCGCCCATTTTCACCGCCACATCACTTATCCCTTATACTGACGAGAGAGACTTCCCACTTGGCTTTTTCTCCGCGCCGTAATCTCGGCACCAGATCACTGAACCGCGAGAATTCGGAATTGGCGTTCTCCCTGCGTTGAACGCAATAATTTGCCATCGGTGTTTCCGTTCTCAAAATTTTCAAACCCTAGCGATTTTACTTTGCTTTAAAGCAAATGACAACCACGAAGTTTTGACATACACGTGCATAAAACCTTCTCGTTAAAGCTATTTTTCCGCTACGTTCTTGATGCCGTTGCCATTCTCGATTCATCTTGTCTCGACCGCGGTTATCCAATGGTGGTCCAGATCCTTTTTAAAGCACAATGCTGTACATAACCTTCTCATTCCTTCCTCTCTCTTTCTCTCCCTCCCTCTCTTCAACACTGTTTTTTCATGCGCTTTTTTCGTAATAATGTGTGTGAGGGTTGGGATGGAGTTGATTTATGAAAGTACCGAGTGGTACAATTGGCGCCATACATCTTATCATCAAAACACTTTCTTATGCTTTTTTAAGACACTTTTTCACCAAAATTTTCAAATCAAAATTCTGGTGAAGGATGGATGAATTACGCATGAAGTATCAAATAATTCAAGTTTTATTTTCAACATTTAAGTTTTGTTTTCAAAATTCAAGT